TTATGCCTTCCTCTCTGATAATGGAGTGTACTTGGATGTTACAGTGAGGACATGGTTCTCTCAGCTCTCTTACATGGCCTGCATATTACAGGCAGCTTAAAAGTGGCAACCTCGGGCCAGACCAAGAAAGGGGCTGTATTATAAAGGGGCCCTATTAGTCCGTTTTCATGCTGCTGATAAAGACATACCCAAGGCCAGGCACAGTGGCTCACACCTGTCATCCCAGCACTTTGGGAGGCTGAGGCAGGAGTTTGAGAGGTCAGGAGTTTGAGACCAGCCTGACCAACATAGAGAAACCCTGTCTCTACTAAAAAGTGCAAAATTAGTTGGGTGTGGTGGCGCATGCCTGTAATCCTAGCTACTTGGGAGGCGGAGGCAGGAGAATAGCTTGAACCCAGGAGGCAGAGGTTGCGGTGAGCCAAGATCATGCCATTGCACTCCAGCCTGGGCAACAAGAGTGAAACTCCGTCTCAAAAAAAAAAAAAAAAAAAAAAAAAAAGACATACCCATGGCTGTGCAACTTACAAAAGAAAGAGGTTTCATTAGGCTTACAGTTCCACATGGCTGGGGAAGCCTCCCAATCATGGTGGAAGGCAAGGAAGAGCAAGTCATGTCTTACGTGGATGGCAGCAGGCAAAGAGAGACAGCTTGTGCAGGGGAGCTTCTCTTTTTCCATCAGATTTCATGAGATTTATTCACCATTGTGAGAACAGCATGGAAAAGACTTGCTCCCATGATTCAATTACCTCCCACCAGGTCCCTCCTACAACACGTGGGAATTCAAGAGGAGATGTGGGTGGGGACACAGCCAAACCATGTCAGGGGCAAACTGCCTGAGAGGAATCACTAGGGTACAACCATGGCATGGTTGGAACCTGCTGAGCAACTTTAGCCACACAGGTGAATCACAGATCAGGCATGCCTTCATGCACAAGGTGCCAATAGTCAGCTTAAAGTGAGATTACTTTGGGCTGTTCTCAAAGCAATTCAGTTTCATGAAAACCCATATTGATTATTTATGCAGTGCTGAGTATTGTAACTGAGGTCTATCCCAGCTCATGGAGCAAAATCAATTAATTTTCCCCCACTACCTGGTGTCATGTCTATTTCCAATTTGTCTCATCAGAGATGTGTTCTGTTCTAACTATGCGTCTGGCTCTGTGGACAGAAACTGACTAAAAGTGTCTACTCTCTACAGGTGCACAGTCCAGCGGGGAGAGACAAAGAACAATAGTACAGTGAGGGGGATGCTGTACTGGGGAGGGCACAGGTATCTGAGAAGCCCAACAAAGGAGACACTTACTATCCCCTTCATGGTATTAATAATCTACATTGATAATCCTGCAGGGGAGTTAGGGAAGGGGTTGAAGGAGAAGCAGCTATTGACTGGGCAGAAGAGGCTGAGAAAGTACATCAGGGAGTGCAGACCCTTTGGGAAGTGGCAGCAGCTCACTGTGGCACCAGTGAGAGGGGGGCGATGAGGCTGTAAGTTAGGTGGGCTAGGCCAGCTACAAATGGCTGTGGGAGCTGTGCTCTGGAGTTGGACACTGTTCTGGAGATGGAGGGCAGCCACTAAAGACAGGGCAAATCTTGGCAGTGGTAACAGCGGCTGGAGGAGGGAGCAGGAAAAGCTTTCGAGCACTGTGGGTAGTGTTTGCTCAAGAGATGATGAAGGCATGAAATGGGGGCAGTAAGAATAAGGAGGCAGGAAAGGGAGAAACTGAGAAATAGTGGAAGGTAAAATCATTAGGACATGTGGCATGAAAGAGTAGGAGGAACCAAAGGTGACTTTCAGGGCACAGGTATCCGAGAGATGAAGAGAAAAAGGAAATCCAAAAACTAGCACCAGGTAAGCCAAGGAAATGAAAGGTCCTACAGAGGGAGTGGCCCTCAGTGTCACACACAGCACAGAGGAACATTTCCAGAGAATGGAGCTCAGAGGACTGAGGATGAATGGGAAGCAATGGGAGACAGTGGATGTCCACAACCACATTAAAATGTCTGACTGAAAAGGGAGGGAGAGAGGTAGTGATGAAGTTAGGAGGGACATGAAGTCAAGAAAAGAGTCTTTTGTTCTTTTAAAACAGGAGACTTTGTGTATAGTGTGTGTGTGTAAAATGGAGGAAGTTTCCAGAAGAGAGAAAAGAACAGCTCAAAAATGCAAGAGATAAATATTAGCGAGGTGTAGCTCAAGGGTCAGGGCAGCAGTGACGATCCCAGGAGGGAAAGTTCTCAACTGTTCTCAGGAGAGTCCAAAGTGTGGCAAGTCCCTGGGAAGCGCACTCTGACAAGCGTAAGGTGCCAACTCAGCGCCATGGGCTGTGCGAGACACTGAGAATGTAGCAAAGAGTGAACACATTTGGCCTTACCTTTTAAGTTGGGTCAGTGCTCTGACCCTACCTCCCACCTTGCCTCCACTCCTCCCTGTCTGCCTTTCTCTAGTGCTATCTCTGAAGTCAACCCACCACATACAGCAACCGAAGCCGCAGATAGGATATCCCTGAAAAAAAGGACAATTAATGTAACCACTCACCCTGCCATCAGGAGCGACACTGTTAGGGATGATACAGAGCTGCTCCGCAGAGGATGGGTTTGTGATAGGCAAGTAAAGGATACTGGTGTCTCCTGGGAAACATGCTGTGATCTCAATATGGGCTATGCATCTTGGTTATCGGAAATATATGTATTCTCATTGTCACAGACTTAAGTTATTAATACCAATGATTTAAGGAGCCAGACTTCAGTATGGAAAGTACTGAAGAAACGTTTCTTAAAGTAAATCCAAACTCTTCAGTAAGACAAGGCCTGATTAAGAGTAGAATGGGTGCTGTAGGTTTTAAGTACCTTTTGAAATCTCACTCTGCTGAGATCATTTAGTTCAAGTCAGTACTACAATTGTTTGTGACTATCACCAATAAAGCCAGTGGTCACATAAGAACTGGTTAAATTGCAACACTGTAGCAGTGGCAGGAATTGATGTCATTTAGATATAGTGTTATTTATTTATTTATTTTTCCGGTGCTGGGCTGTAGCAGACACATCGGGAGGTAGGAAAGATAGAAGAGAGGATATGCCAGCAATTGAACATGCTCATGACCCTCCCCAGTGACGCTCTCAAATTGGGAAGGATTCTGTAGACCCTGCCAGGATCACAGAAAAGCCTAGCCCTTTGTAGGAGGCAGTGGGGGAGGGGTGCTTTTCTCCTTCCAGCAAAAGGAAGCAACTCCTACTTCCCTCAACCACCTTTCTCACGGTGGGCAATCCAAATTACTGAGTAGGGAGCCACGGCCTGACAGACCTGCTCTAAATACTCAATAAGTCAGGGACAGAAGGGGCCAATGTCAGAACCAGGAGGGCCGATTTCTCCCCCACAGAGCCAGGAGTTGTCTCCCTTTTGCCTCCCTGTTCAGGGAATGAATGTTTATGATGGCTGCAAGGGACAATGTCTCAAAAATATTAAATGCAGTTTTCTAATCATAACCTGTTCTTCCCTAATATATAAGCTTTTCTTCAAAGGACACAATATTTTGAACAATGTATTCCAGAAAACAGCCACCACTACCGAAGTGGCTGAGTTAGAAAGCTTACTTCTTCTTCATAATGTTATGTTTCCCATTTGATGGCTGGATACTCACCGTTGGAGCAGTTTCTTGTTTGTTTTTTTAGATAAAAATCCTAGAGTCAGCCGGACGCGGTGGCTCATGCCTGTAATCCCAGCACTTTGGGAGGCTGAGGCGGGTGGATCACTTGATTTAGGTCAGGAGTTTGAGACCAGCCTGGCCAACATGGTGAAACCCTGTCTCTACCAAAAACATAAAAAATTACCCGGGTGTAGTGGCACACACCTGTAATCTCAGCTGCTTATGACCCTGAGGCAGGAGAATCCCCTGAACCTGGGAGACGGAGGTTGCAGTGAGCCTAGACTGTGCCACTGCACTCCAGCCTGGGTGACAGAGCGAGAGACTCCATCTCAAAAAAAAAAAAGAAAAAAAGAAAAAATTCTAGAGTCACAGACCACACCAAATAGATATTACCATTTGCTAAAAATGGTCTGACTCCTTAAAAAAGCATTTTTAAGCTATACAATTGTTTTTCTGCTGCTATCTTTCCATTTTAATTCACTCTAATATTTGAATTTGCCCCCAAGGCCCAACTTGAGAGACTGGAAAATTAACAGGTCACCGAGCTCCCTCCTAGGCTGAAATGGTCAGCATGCCCCATGACCTGTGAGGGTGAGAGTTCAGACACCGACCCCTCCTCCCGCACTCTGGTTTTCTTTCTTTGAAGACCTGACTAGGGGAATATTGAAACGAGAGTGAATTGAAATAGGAGAAATATTTTCAGGTTTGCAACACGATTTAGCCAAACCATTGCTTTAATTTTCACAGTTAATCCCAGGAATTCCCAGTCTTCAGAAAAGACTACAATATTTCAAAGCAATTTAGTGCAGTCCAAGCAGAATCTGCAATTTCTGCATTTACACTCTGTCCACTGGAATTGGGTCTTCAGATGACCTGGAGATAAGTTTTTGACACAAAACCTACTGAAATGCTTCCATTGATTAACTCATTTTTTCAGCAAGGATTTTCTAAGCAACTACTACATAAAGCTACAGTGCTTGGCAAGGAAGGAAGTGGGGTGTCAAGCACAAGTGGTGTTCTGTGGCCTGATGTGGGCACCTCTGGAAAGGCACACATTGGAGCGCGACGGGTAGCGATGGCATCCAGCAGCGTGGGTTCCCACAGCGCCAAAAAGCGCGCCAGTAAAACTTTCCGTAATTCCCTCTGTGCCAAGTGCATCCTGGGCAGTCGCATTTCGGAGGGGCAGAACTCACCCTAACTTTTGAGTGCAGAGTCAAACTTAGGGACTAGGTTAGAGTGAAGGGAAAGGGGAGCCCGGGCTGAGGAGGGAAAAGGCAGCGCATATCCCGGGGTCAGGGACAAGACCAGAGGACAAGGAAGGGCCCGACCCCAGCACCCAGCATCAGGAATGGTGCTCACCTGCGTTTCGGAGCTTGCGGTTCCTGAGCACGGAAAGGATCACCAGGAGGTTGCCCACAACGTCCACGGCGGTGGTGACGATGAGCACCACGGATAGCGCGGGAGCCACCCAAGGAGGTCGAGGGGTCCTGGAGGGTTGCCCCCTGCCAGTACCCAACCAGCCTGGGCGCACTGCCCACCCGCCGGCTTCGCAGCAATTGGCGAAGGAGCCGTTATCTGACATTGCAGACTCTCCCGCGCTGCGCTTTGGCCACCGCGCGGCCTCGGACAGCCGCAGGGCTCGCGCAGTACTGAGCCGGGCGCTCCCTTCCCTGTCCAGCTCCCGTGTGCAAGGGAGGAGGCCAGTGGGGAGGGGTCTGGAGGAGATAACTAATTAAGCGTGGGCAGGGGATGGAGAAAAATATAGGAATGGGAGGAGGACTTGGGGTGCAACCGTTGCAGAAAGGAGTGCGTCCCTCAGCGGTGCGCTCAGGAACAGCTGGGACCACACAGCTGTCTCTGCCACCCCGCCCCCAGCACGTGCCTAGCTCATCTCAGGCCGCGGAGCGCGTCTAGCCTCTGTTCCTCGGTACACAACTACACCGGAGACCCCGATTTCCTCTACAGCGTCCCCAAGAGAAGCTAGGAACATCCAACCCAGGTTTATAGACTGGAGAAGGTGCTGATGGTCGGGACCTCCCATCAGTTGTCAAGCAAGGCAAGGTTTGAGGTCCCACAGGGCTGTGCAGCTCGAAAGAGAATGCAGCTCCTAAGATGTGGGGACAGAGCCCAGAACAAAGTAGTGTAGACTTGTATTCTAGGGAGCTGCAGAAAAATAGGAACCTAGCCATTTTCCGAGCACTCGCTGGGTATTGCGGGGGACATTAGTGATGTCTCTACTTGGTCCTCTTTATAAAGCCAATATTTTAGTATATTTACCAATATATATTTACACATAATACTTAAATAGATGTATGGCCAATATTGGGGGTTGTGATGTGGTTTTTGGAGGGGTTAGGACAAGAAAAAGAGTGAGGCATGATTACAATAAAGAAGGAACTCGGGTGCCCTTTATTAAAAGTGCTTGAGTCGTGATCTGGTGATAATAATAATAGATAACTTCTCTTGGGGGATAATCTTATGCCAAGTTTGTCCTAAGCACTTTTCACACCCACTAGAATCACTAAAATCAAAATGACTGATTATCCTAAATTTGTGGAGGAAGTTAAGCAACCAGAACTCTCATACAGTGCTTTTATGAGAATGCAAAATGGTACAACCACTTTGAAGAGCTGTCTGTTAGCTCCTAATAAAGTTAAACATACACCTATTCTATGACCAGAAGTTCCAAATGAAAAGGAAATATATTTCCACAAAAAGACGTGCACAAGAACGTCCAGAGCAGCCTTGTTTATAGGAGCTCAAATCTGGAAACACCCACAATTTCCATCAACAGAAGAAAGGATAAACAAATTGTGGTATGACCTTGCTATGGAATACCTCTCAGCTATAAAGATGATTGACCTACACAACAGCATGAATTGATCACAAATATGTTGTATTGAACAAAAGAAGCCAGATACCAAAAAATATGTACTATATTATTCCAAGTATATGAAGTCCAAAATCAGGAAAAATTAATATATTTTCTAATAGAAATCAGAAAAGTGGTTACATTTGAGGGTGGGTATTGAGAAGCGAACACCAAATGATTTCTGGATTGTTATTTTTACATGTGTTATTTTACATAAATTATATTGCCCCTCTCCCTTAAAAGGGGGGAAAAAAGAAAGAAGGATGCAGTGCAGAGGGAGGGGCTGATGAGGCAGAAGTGTGAGTGGATGATGAAGGGAAGGGAGAGGGAAGGGAGAGGTGAAGTGAGCTCATCCTTGAAGTGAGCTAATCCAGAACTCCTTAAAGTGAGTTCATCCCAAACCCAAGGAAGGAATATTATTTGTTAGGAGAGGGAGGCTTGCTTTCTTGTAGTAGAAAGCAATCAGAAGCCAGATGCAAATTCAGATGCGCTTCTAAACTGGTGTGAGGAAATAAGAGAGCTCCTGTCTGGCTTCTGTATTCTCAGGGAGTTAGAGGCTACTCATTAGTCAGGATTCAGGGGAACAGTGTGGGAGGTTTGAAGACAAAAAAAGGTATGAAGGAGCATTTCAGAAACTGGGAACATTAACTAGTAAAGTGTAACAGGTGTGTCAGGAGCATGAATGTCCCCCTGCAGCTTGAGATGATGGCTTCAAATGATGCCACTCAGCCTGGCCAGTGGTTGTTATCAGCAACTTGGAGCTGCTTGGCACAGGCATGGAGAAGGCAGAGTGAATGAATTTCAGTTAGGATTGGGGTCTGCTGCGTAGGAGCAAATAACAAGAAAGTTCAGGGGCCTGGTGAGAAGATGGATCCTGGGGTTTAAGTTAATGAGGGGTGATGAGAAAACAGAGGGGCTGATGGGCTGTGAGACAATGGCAGAGTCAAGAGATTGGAGGCCCTGTGATGTCAAAGATGTGTGGTGAGTGAATTAGGAAATGTAAGTCGTGGTGCTGAAAGGGTGAGTTGTTTGAAACTGAGATGTCTGAGGGGTGTAGATTCTGTTGCTGTGAAGGCTCTGAGGGTGATTATGGGGAGTGGGTTGCTGGTGGAAGGTGAGAAAAATGTTAGAGATGAGAAGGTCAAGGAACTGAGAAGTCGGGGGTGGATATTAGGAAGTCGGGGGTGAGAAAAGGAAAACTATGAGTCAGGAGGCGAATCCCCAGTGAATGAGAAGGAATGACCAACAGGTCTGCAGGAGAGCAACAGGAAAGGGGAAAGAGACGCCAATGGGCAGTGTGAAAGCCAAGGGGCTTTTTCAGGAAGAAGAGACAGCCACGCCTTCCCTGTCTTACAGGTGGAAACACTTCGTGGCACTTCTCAGCTTTCACAGGACAACATAGCAATAGGTGAGTTGGACACATAAGTTGCCTCCATCCAGACACACCCTCTAATAACACACTTTTGGTTAACTGAGCATGAAACATAGGAATTTGCCCTATGCTGCCTTGGAATGTGATTGTCCATAATAGCATATCTCAAGATAGGCACAAAGAATTGGGATGTTAACCTGCCTAAGAAGTCAATTCTACATCCTGGCATGGCTGGCCAGGCTGTGGCTTTAAAGGGTGGAGGAATGGTACAGCCACTTTGGAAGACAGTTTGGTGATGCTTTACAAAACAACACATACCCTTACCATAGCATAGAGCAACTGTGTTCCTTAGTACTTACCCAAGTGAGTTGAAAAATCAACGCCCATAGAAAGACCTGCGCACCGATGTTTATAGCAATTTTACTCATAATTCCCAAACTTGGAAGCAACCAAGATGTCCTTCAATAGGTAAATAAATAAACTAACTGTGTGGCACATCCAGACGATGGAATATTATTCTGTGTTAAAAAGGAATGAGCAGGCCGGGCGCGGTGGCTCAAGCCTGTAATCCCAGCACTTTGGGAGGCCGAGGCGGGCGGATCACAAGGTCAGGAGATCGAGACCACAGTGAAACCCCGTCTCTACTAAAAATACAAAAAATTAGCCGGGCGCGGTGGCGGGCGCCTGTAGTCCCAGCTACTCAGGAGGCTGAGGCAGGAGAATGGCGGGAACCCGGGAGGCGGAGCTTGCAGTGAGCCGAGATCGCGCCACTGCACTCCAGCCTGGGCAACAGCGTGAGACTCTGTCTCAAAAAAAAAAAAAAAAAAAAAAAAAAAAAAAAAGGAATGAGCCATGATGCCATGAACAGACATGGAGGAACCTTAAATGCATATTACTAAGTGAAATAAGCCAATCTGAAAGGGCTACATACTGTTTGATTCCAATTACATGACATTCTGGAAAAGGCAAAATTATGCATACAGTAAAAAGATAAGTGGTTGCTAGGAGTTTGGGGTGAGGGAAAGATGAACAGGTTGAGCATGGAGGATTTTTAAGGCAGAGGAACTGTTCCATATGATACTATAATGGGTAATACATGTCATTATACATTTGTCAAAACCCAAAGAATGTACAACACCAAGAGTGAACTGTAATGTAAACTATTGCATTGCAGACACTGCTGTGCCTGAATATAAACTAATAAGATTATTTGTACAATAGGTAAAAATAACAGTTGCTGCCAACAGTGTAATGAAATTTTATGGGAAGAAAATAAAACTCTGGAGAAGGAGAGGGAAAAAGACAAATAAGAGAGTTTCAAGATTTCTAGATGGTTTCTCAAAGAAATAAATCAACATTATGAATGCTTACAGAGTATCCTAGGATTTAAAAATTGAGCAGAACTGCTTTTCTCAACACCTATCCCAAGTTCAAATCAAATTAATATCTGCCCATAGAAGCTCATTGTCATGCATCCCAACAGTAACACCTTTTACTCCAGAGAGTACTTCAAACCTTTCCCAAACATCTTTCATCCAGGATATCTTGGGAGGCAGCAGTGATTGGCCCAGCTAGAAAAGAAGGAAACAGACTGTCAGAGAAGTGAATTGCCAAAGTTAGTGGCTGATGAGTGACCAGCGGCATTATGCAATCTATTTTATTAAGTGTGTAATGAGGTCCAGGCACAGTGGCTCACACCTGTAATCACAACATTTTGGGGGGCCGAGGCCAGAGGATCACTTGAGGCCAGGAGTTTGAGACCAGTCTAGGCAACAAAGTGAGACCTTGTCTGTACAAAAAATAAAATAATTAGCAGGCACAGTGGCATGCACCTGTGGTCCCGGCTACCCAGTAGCCTGAGGCAGGAGACTTGATTGAGCCTGGGACGTCTAGGCTGAACAAGCTGTGATCACGCCAGGGCACTCCAGTCTGGGCAACTCAGTGAAACCCTGTCACTAAATAAACAAATAAATAAATAATGTGTGACAGCTTTTACTCCTTCAGTATGAAATATACAAAGAAAATAAGCAAAATTTTCTTTTGGTAATCAGCTTGTAGCATGGCTGACAAGCACTTTTAATAATGCTATAAACAGTAACTAGCACACAGTTAATATCTAGTAATTACTCTGCATTACGCATAGGGGACATCTGGATTCTTTTGTTTAATCCTCTCATCTCTATGTAACATATTACTGTGTACCGTGAAGAAACTGAGATTTACACAGGTTAAGAAACCTACCCAAGGTTGCCCAGGTAGTGGTTTCAGAGCTAGGATTGGAACCTAGGCTGCCCCATCCCAGAACCTGGGGCTATTTTACTCTTGCAGTGGGATATAT